AAAAAAAAAAAAAAAAAAAAAGAATAAAAAAAACACAAGCACAAATCAAAAGAAAGCTGGGAACCCAGCATGGTTGTACATACCTATAATCCTAAATACTAGGGAAACTGTCTAAGGTAGGAAGATAACAAACTAAAGGACACCCCTAACTACATAGAGAGACCATATCTGGGGGGAGGTTGGTGAAGAGCCCAGAAAAATGGCTCAGTCAGTAAACAGCACTTGCACAAGCCTGATAACCAAGTTCAATCTCCTGAACATGAAAAAGCCAGATATACAGCTGTAATCCCAGCACTGGATGGCCAGATGGAAGGCTGAGATAGGTAAACCCGCAGGAAGCTTGTGGGTCAGATAGCCTATAGTATGCTAACAGTAACAATCAGCAAGAGAGATTTTGCCTCAACAAGGTGGAAGGTGACAACTCCCTAAAGTTTTCCTCTGACCTCCACATGCATTCCACAGCTCTAATGTACCCACACTCATGTACACATTAAAAAATAATAATAATAAATGGAATTTAAAAAGCAAACATAAGTAAGCAAAGAAAAATGATGCTTTTGTTAAAAGCTGTTTTTAAAAAACATACATAAACAGATATATATATATATATATATATATATATATATATATATATATATATGTGTTGGTTTTTCCTTTTGAGACAGTGTCTCACTCTGAATCAGAAGCTAAGCTGTCCTAAAACACAGTATTTAGACCAGACATTCTTTATCATTGCACTTGTTTTTCAGGTAAAAGCTGATGATAGAAGATAAGTAATGACCAAAAAGTTACATTGACTACAGTAATGGTTTTAATTCATTTGCATTTAATCAGTCCCATAGTACTACAGCTAACCAAAAAAGGACCCCATACCTATGTGAGAGCCATTGTCTATACCATCCCCACAGAGATCTGCAGACCCTCTGAAACAATGGGATGAAAACTGCTGGTTTAAGGGGCCTATCTTAAGCCAATGGTAAGCCGGATATTAGAAGCAAGTTATCAAAATTCCGCCAAATCACCTGTATGAGTTGACTGCCTTCAATTCTTACACAATAGCTAAAATAAATCTGTACAAATCAGTTACTAGTCTCAATCTCTAACAAGATGGCATCTCTAAAATCACTGTTGAAAACAATTTCCATGAATCATTCAATTTATTCCCAAAATATCCTATCTTGAAAAAAACATTGTTACACCCTACTTGGAAAGACACATCCCAGGGGCTGAGAATATTACTCAATGGGTAGAGCGCAGGGTTGAGGCTTGAGACTCTGGATTCAATCCTCAGCCCCGATAAGAAAAAGAAGAGAAAACACAGCAGATTCTAGCAGGATTTCATCATATTTTCCAGGATCCTACAGACCCCTAAAATTTTTTCATGAAAATTTAACAAGTAAACTATCATATTCAATAAAAAAATAAATAATATCAAAATGCAAGCACAAAGAAAGTTGTAAATATATTCTTTCTTTGTTTTTGTTGTTTTTTGTTTGTTTGTTTGTTTGTTTTCAAGACAGGGTTTCTCTGTGTAGCCTTGGCTGTCCTGGCACTCACTCTGTAGACCAGGCTGGCCTCAAACTCACACACATCCATGACCAATGCCCAGCAAAAAGTTGTAGATATATTCGCTGTAACTTTTTATCACGTAACAAAAATTATGTATACCATCTTATGGAGAGTATCAAGTAACTGAGATACAATTTACCTCCCGATCACACTGGCTAAAATACTCTTACTTCTGCAAGGCTTGGTAGTCCATGCCTTTAATCCCAGCACTTAGGAGGCAGAGGCAGGAGGATCTCTGTGAGTCTGAGGCCAGCATGTTCTACAGAGTGGGTTCCAGGACAGCCAAGGCTACACAGAGAAACCCTGTATCAAAACAAAACAAAACACAACAACCAAAATAATAATAATAAAATAAAATAGAGGTAAGCATATTAGCTCAGGCCTATAATCCCAGCACTTGAGTCAGGCTAAAAGTTATCCCCATCTACAAAGAGTTTGAGGCCAGCCTAGGCTATACTGCAACCCAGTCTTGAAAAAAAAGTAAAACATATACATGATTCATTTACAAAACAAGTTTCATGACACTATGATTTTTGTTTGTTTTGATTTTTTGAGACAGAGTTTCTCTGTGTAGTCTGGGCTGTCCTGGAACCAGACTGGCCTCTTAATCCTTTTTATTAGCATCACAGTATGCAAATAACTACAGATTCCTTTTTATAAATATAGATAGAAGGAAGGAAGGGAGGGAGGGCAGGCAGACAAAGGAACAGAGTGGTAATAATCACCTGTCACACTTCAAGTTGTTTCACCACAAATGAGTCAGGTACCAAGAAGAAAAGAAATGCTTTCAGCAAGGGTTAATTCCACTTCTCTGTTTTGGCCATTCAATCTCTGTAACAAATAAGCTCTTAGTTACTTTATCAAACTTACAAGACAGCATCAAGATGATATTTTCTCCTATAAAATACCAATTTTACATGTCCATTAAAGTCAGCCCTCAAATTAACTCTATGAGGGTGTGACAGACACAAACAGCCCAAATTTGGTGTCAGAAAACTACCCTGGTCATCTCAAGTCACTAGGGAGATATTAGTCCCAGGTCCTGAGAGCATCCTTTACATAACTGTTGTAGAAACATCTCCACATTCTAGAGATTACAGCAAGAATGCATAAAAGTCAGGAAATTTCCTCTATCAAGATACTCCAAGATCAGTATATATACATTTGGTCAAAAAAAAAAAAAATCCACAGCCAAATAAAAGTAGAGGGGGAAAAAAATCAGGCTTATGGTTTTCTTTCTGTCTTTGTCTTCCTTTCTTTTTCTGTCTTGTTTGAGGAAATAGGGATGAAACCCATAACTTTGCACATAGTAGGCAAGTACTGTCCGAGGCCCTATATCCCCATCAGGACTGTGATTTTTTTTTTTTTCCTCACGTTTGCTAAGAAAGGAAAACCAAATATAACAAGGAAACAGCCTAAGATCAAACTCGAGAAGCAAAAGCCATCTGTATGAAACCTTAACCAAGTAGGAAGCCTGGGCAGCTTCCTGAAGGGCCTCACCAGGTAAAGAAGTAAAAATGACCTCAGGAAGCAATTGCCAGGCTTCAAATCTGCTTCTGCTAAATCTTCAAATCCTGGAACAGCGCTCAGAAATAAGGCGCCAAACGACTGGGCATCCTGCTACATGGCCAGTTAGATTAGCTGCCCAAGACTGAGACTGGGCAGCTACAGATTTTCCCCCATCAACAGCAGAGACTGATTTTTTTGCCACACAGTCCAGTGTTCACGACTGGTTTCCCAAGACTTGTTAATTTAGATGTTGATTTCTATTTATACTGACCCATTACACAACACGGTGACTAGCCTTTGGGCTTAGTGCTCAGTACAGAATTTTCAGAATGTTTCACAAATATTTCTTGACATTTGTGATATGAGATAACAAAATATGGAGACAATCAAAAGCGCCACAAGAGCACCGTGTTCCCAAACGCCAATACCTCAGCACTCTAAGTCCCAACACGAGTCGGAGGTTTCAAAAGCCCCAAGAAGCTGCATTCCTGCATTCACATAGTCTCTGCCCTCACACACACCGCCTCTCGAACAACAGCTTCTCGCTCGCAGCCTAAGCCCCAGGGGATCAATTAGGCTCACACGGTCCCAGATGGCGAAGGACCCAGTGTTTCAGTCTTTACACTCGTGGCTTCTCTAACACTCAAACCTCCTCCGCTGTCTCCGTCTCTCTCAGGGTGGCTCACACTCCAGAGTCACCCTAACACCCACAGCTTTTCTCGTCACACTCCGGGTTTTTCCGTCACACACACACAGGGTCTCTCCCTCACACTTGCTGTCTCGCAGTTTCCTCTCTCACACACAGTCCTCCTCACACTTAGGGTCTTGCACACTCGCAAAACCACCCAGGGTCTCTCTCGCGCGCTCGCTCACACCGGCACGCACGCGCGCGCGTCTT